CTCAGAAGGTGTGTGGCTCCTACGAAAACTCCTAAGCAGGGTAGTAAAGCCGGCACCTTGGAACCCGAGCCAGAGTCAGCCCAGGGTGCAGACTGAAGACAGCTGGACTTGATTCTTCTTTAACTTCTCGAAGCAATGCATTAGGGGAGGAGGGAAGCAAAAGAGACCCTAAAAACTGCATTCACACTCGGGGCTTGTTGACACACACCTGTAATTCCCAGCACTGTGCAGGCTGAGGCAGGAGGGTCGCCATGAGTTTGAGGCCAGCCAGTTCAAGGGCAGCCTGGACTACATAGCAAGACCCTGTCTCAAAAAAGCACAGCAAAACAAAATAAAACTGCATTCGCTCATGAAAACAAGAGACAGATGAAGACCGTAGGTCCAGACTGAGTCCCAGGTGAAGCTCTCAGCAGCTTCAGACAAAAGGGGGCGAAGGGCGAAAGCCTCGGGGTAGGAAGATCTGGCTCGGTCACTGGAGGTCACAAAAGCCAGGCCTCTACTTGCGCTCAGTAAGTATACAACCAAGAAAAGAAACGAGCAAGGGGAACAGCTCAGCCTTCTGAATACTCGTTTCTTGCCATGTAAGATGGGACAAGGCCCTGTCTACACTGGCCTTCCTTGACAGGATCAAAATGAGAGCAAATCTGGAAGCACTTTAGGAGCTGCAAAGAGGGATGGGACTGAAAGGGCTGTCATTTTCTAAGGGTCTTCAGGTTTTTCTGATCGAGCGGATTCTGTGGCTGCTTTCGGGAAGGAAAGGCTTTTGCAGGGGTAACTCCCTGGGTTTGCCTTCCACTTCAGGATATCCTGCTGCTGCTCCCATCCCTTTCATCAGAAATTGCTTCCCACTGTGAGTCTTGGTCACTGAGCCCCAGAAACCGGAAGAGAAATTATATTCCCTGCATATGACAGCCATGGCTCCTGGCCCACCTGAAGTCTTAAAGGGCAGATCTCTGCTATAGTTCAAAGAAGCACACAGGAGGTAATGAGGAGCAAGGAAACAATATCCTACGTGGGAAACCTGAATCGGATGTGATGCCACACACTTGTATTCACAGCATCAGGAGGCTGAGGCAGGAGGATCTCTGCAAGGTCAAAGCCAGCCTGGGCTACAGAGTGAGTTCAAGGCCAGCCTGGAATACATAGCAAAGCCATGTTTCAAAAAGCCAAAAGAAAAAAGAAAATTGTTTTCTTCCACTTCTGTTTAAAAATCTTTGCTCCATCCCATGTTAGAAGGGTGCTCTGAAGTTGGAAAGGTTAGTCTGTTTCAGCAGCTCCCTTTGGTGTGGAAAAAACACCAAAAACAGATCCAGGATCCACGTTATTATTCTGGGGACCCAAAGTGGAGAGGAGCTGGGGTAGCTCTGGCCAGGGGGTCCTGTCAGTGGCGACTCCTTCCCAGCATCCCGACCCCAACCGCACCCCTAGAACTACGTCCTGAGAGCCACAGAGTTTAATCCCAGGAAATATAAAGACAGCTGACTTTTGTACTCTTTAAAGTAACTCTTTAGAGGAAATGTGTTGTGTATGTTTCTGTTTTTTGCGATGTTGAGGACTGAATCCGAGGCCTTCACACTGAGCCATATCTGTGGCTCTCTCCTCCCCACCCCTGGTTTGTCTGGGTCTCCATAGGTTGCTAGATTGCCCAGGCTGCACTTGAACATGCAATCCTCCTGCCTCAGCGTCCTAGAGTGCTGGGATTACAGGCATGCACCACCACACCCAGCAGTGTTGTGTGTTTTACTCTTACTATACACTTTATAAAAATATATCTCAAAAGAGGGGCGAGCTGCCTATTAGTGCACATGTCCAATTCTTCATTTAGAAAAACGAAAATTTGAGAAAGTTTGAGGTCATTTCTCCCCTACGATCCTCCAGGAATGTTTTCCGAATAACTGGGGTCACAGCAGCTCTGCAGACAATGTCTCTTTCCAAAGCACAGCTTCAGCAGCCCCAGGGCTACTTCAGATAAGTTTAAGAAACGAGAGGCTGAGGCAGGATGACTGCCATGAGTTCAAGGCCGGCCTGGGCCACGTAGTGAGACCTTGTCTCAAAACAACAAAACAAAAGACTTCATGGCCCTTAACACGGATCACGATCAACTGAAATTTATTTAGCCAGCTTGGTATGATAGGAAGGACAAGATGAACACTGCTAAACAATAAATCTGGAGGACACTAGGAAAAGTCTTTAAACTGCTTATAACAGGACATCTTAATCATGGTGTTGTGCTCACACAAAACATTTCAGTTTTTAAAATAATCACTCTAAGTGAACCAGACATGATAGAAATCACTGAAACTGGCTCCTGCCAGCTCGATTCCGGGGGAGGCCCCTTGGCCTGGGATGTCCCAGCGCAGGATGGGAGCTGGCCACCGAGCCACACAGGTGCAGAAGGAACATTCGCACTAGACAAGGGCTACGTCAGGGTTTCTCCCTTCATAGGCAGAAAGCACCCCATGTTCAAATAGGCCCACCTCCGGCTTTGAGATGCATCTACGTGTCTTTAACATCCTGCCCCAGAAAGTTCACTCATGGCCAAAACGTACGTGTGCACAGTCCTGTGTACGTGTAAAAATGTACCCAAGAAAGACATCTCTCTGGTAAGCACTGCTCCAGTTGTATCTTGTATCTTTTTTAATTAATTAGTTAACACATTTATTTATTTATTTTTGAGACAGGGTCTCGCCATGTAGTTCAGGCTGGCCTTGAACTCACTGTGTAGCCCATGCTGGCCTCAGACTTGCGGCAATCCTCCTGCTCCAGCCTCTGGACTGCTGGGTTTACAGGCATGCACCACCACATGGGACGGACACCTGTGGTTTTAGAAGCTCCCTTCTAGCAGCTGAGGCGAGACTCGAATTTTCAAACCATCATCTGCCCCATGGAGAAAAGGCGATACAAATCTACACCTCTCAGACACAAGTCTTTCAATTGTCCTGGCAGTAAGAATCTCCTTCTGTAGAGAGCTAAGAAATTTCTCATCATTTTTAAATTATAAAATACACTTATTCCTGAAGAAATCATTCTTTCCCCGTCAAAGTAAGTAAAATTTCGATACAATTGACGTGACATGGGCGATGTCAGGTGGCTTACTTATCTGACGTAGTGCTGCTTAAACTTCCGGCTCAGGAAGGGATGGAGCAGCTTGCTTGAGAGGCAGTGGATAGTGACAGCCGGCAGAAGCCTGGGTACAATTCTGGTCCTCCTCTGAGGCGCAGATCCGAGCTCCCCTGATCCAGCCGCATGGACCATTTCTCCTCAATTGATGGGTGACAAAGGAGCTGGTGCCGCGTCTAGTAAAACGGCCTCAGCAGGACTGACAAATGCGTCAGGTGAACAGGAAGCAGAATGGGGCACAAAGCTGACTGCCGTCCACTTGGGCGTCGGCAGGAGTTCACCTGAGCCACACAGACCCCAGGGTTCAAGGATCCTCCAGGAGGGGCCAACGAATGTCAATCAGAAAAGTGCAACCAAAAAGCCAGGGGCAAGCTTGTCACCTGCGGCAGGACAGGTGAGGCAGAACGATGTGTGAAGCTGCCTCTGACTGAGGGACATCACTACTCTGGGGTTGGGGTGAGCAGCAACTGGCACAGCCAGCCAGGAGCAGCCCCCTCCCCTCAGGGCTCCTTCCCCTGCCAACGCCTGAGATTTAATGACCTGTGACTCATCAGAGGCCAGCACTGCAAGGCCACTGCGTCCCTACTATGGGCCAGTCATGCACGTCTCTCCCCTGGTGGCCTCGGAGCCTGCAGGACCCCCGACCTTGGCCCCTCCTGAGCTGGGTGACCGCCGGCCCCACCACTGCAGACACCCACGCTGCCGCAGACTCCCAGACACAGCGAGGCTCAGAAGATCAAGGGACCAGGCCCAGCAGCCTTTTTAACTTTGGGAAAACCCAGTGCTCACTTCACTCAAACGTCGCAAAGTGGTGCCACGACCCTTTAGCTCCTGGCTCACCAATTCAAAGAGCCACATCACATACAGCCCTTCGGCTGCCCACGGCGTGATTCCGTCTAGTTCCTTTCCAGGTCCCCCCAAGCGGAAGGCAGTTCTGGCAGGGAGTCTGGCAAGATTACTGCGGTCTCGTGTGCAGCCTTTGTGCCTTCCTTTGCCGGGTCTTACTGTAGAATCAGGCACGAGGTCCCGAAGACTGAGGGCTTCAGCAGAGGCCGGACCTGAGACGTGTACTCAAAAGGGGGCCCGCAGACCTCTGCCCAGCTCAGAAATCTCCACTGCAAAGATGAACAAACTGAGGCTCAAAGGAAAGACTAGCGTCAGAGTTAGAGCCGCTCCTGGACACAAAGGGGACCCACCTTGGTGGATTCACTGTGCACCTGGCCGGGTGGAAATGGCAGTGCGGAGTCGTCGGCTTCCTGCCCCTAAGGAGTGGGGTGAGCAGAGTACCAGCCTCACCGCCCTAGTGGAGGCTGAGGCAGGAGGATCGCTGCAAGAGCAAGGTCAGTCTGGGTTATATAGTGAGTTCGAGACCAGCCCAAACTACACAGCAGAACCCTGCCTCGAACAAAACAAAAACTACACTTCCTGTCTCCCTTTAGTCTTATGATGGGCAGAATGAAGTCAGGATTGGAAGAGCGCTTGCCTTTCACTCCGAAACGGCACGGTTCCGTGTGTGATTTCCAACATACTCACCTACGTGTGACAGGGACCCACAGGAGAACACGGTATACTACAATCAAACACCGCTTCAACCGGGCATTTGGCCCAATCCCCCAGCCCACGCCAGCCCCGCCGGCTGTTTGCCTAAATACCCTCGCTGCAGGCCCTGGGGCCCCGAGGTGTCCCCAAGACCCAGGCCGCGCAAGCAGGAAGCAGCAGCAGGGCCAGAACTCGGCAGATCCCCGGGGAAGCAGGAAGGGGGCAGGGGCGGCGGCGCGGACCGAGCCCACGGGGGGAACCCACGGCACGCGGCCCGGGCTCCTCCCGCGCACACCCCCAACCCCCGCGACCCGGGTCCCGGCCGGCCGGCCCCCGCCTACCTGGCGAAGCAGTGCTCGCAGAAGCTGCCGCGCTCGCCGACAGTGAGCACGCAGGCATAGGCCGGGCAGGAGAAGAGCAGGTCGCCCACCTGGAACGGCTGCAGAGCGCGCAGCCCCCGACCCTTGCCCGGGCTGCAGAAGCGCTCCAGGCCGCCGCGGCCCTCGGCCCGCATGGTGGCGACAGCGCTCGGAGCCCGGCTGTGGCTCCCGCGCGGTCACGGAGCCAGAGCCGCGTCACCGGCCGCGGGCGGGGAGCGCGCGCCCCGGAAGGGACGGCCCCGCCCGCGCGCAGCTGCTGCCCGCGCCGCCGGTCCGGGCCCCGGCTGGGTGGGCGCGGGGCGCCTGGGGCCAGGGTCTCCGCCTCCGCCCTGGGCGCACCACGGGGAACCGGCCGTGACTCCGCCCTGTGGCTCGCGCGGCCTCCGCTCGCACGCTCGGGGGCCTCCCCGGGCACCGGGGGACTGGCCGGGGGGACCCGCGGAAAAGTTCGGGGTGGCGGGGGTTAAAGTGCGCGAGCCCGGCTCCGCAACCCTGCGAGGGCGCCCTGGCCCCGCGACCCCAGTGGCCGCGAGCTGCGCGCGCGGAAGAGGAAATGCGCCGCGGCCTGGCTGCCGGCCTCTGCGGATCGCGGACGCGGCGGCGGGTCTAGGGCCACGCGGGGACTCGGGCTCCCCCGGGCCACTGCGTGCGGGGGCCGGAGCGCCGCCCAGAGCCAGGCTGAGAGCGGTTTTAATGGGCTTGGCCGCCCACCCCAGCTCAGAAAGGGCAATTGAGGGAGGTCTAGAGAAGCTCCAACAATGCCTGGCCCATAAACGCTGTACACACGCCGCCCCTATTCACCGGAGCAGTGTTCCAGGCAGCCCAAAAGGGAAGAGGGAATTTGGCAGAGAGCACTGTGATCTCAAACTGCTGCCCTTAAACTTCTGGGCTCATCTGGCAAAGGGAAGGACGCCTGTGATTTGGAGGGCAGCGCAGCATCAGTGGAATTTTTGGCCCCTTTGGTGCAGTTCCTTTATTAATGACGAAATGAAGCGGCCTCGAGCCCTCCCCCAGCGAAAGGTCATCGTGGACAGGATAGCCCTGATGCATTCTAAGAAGTCCAGGCTAACTGTACGTGGGAAGAACGACCAAAGATCCCCTGGTTCTTGCATACCTCACACTCAATCCAATAGTAACCTGCCCCTTGTTGAATACCGTGGGTCAGGTGTTGTGGTCAGTCATTAAACACATTGCTTCGTTTAATCCTCCCAATAGTCCAGTGAGTTGCCTCTTATGCACCCCAATTCTGACATTAAGAAACTTAAGACTCAGGAAGAATGATTCTAAGGCTGCCCAATAAATGGCAGAATTTGGTTTCAAGGTCAGTCCGCATTGGAGCCGCATGCAGTGTCTGCTGGCAAACCACACACCTCACAGAGATAAATGGCACTCTGGTGGCTATGGGAGATATTCCGTGGGAATACGGGCAACGAGTGACAAATTCAGGCCGGGAATTGTTAGGGCAAGTGCCACATTCAAGTAACATTTGTTCTGGCTGAACCCAGAGGCTGGACAGGAGTCCACTAGCCCAGGAGGGAGAAGAACATCCCAGGCAGAGAGAAAGGTGCAGACAAGGACCTGGAGTTGGGGTCTGAGCAGGTCTAGTGGAGGGTGGATGCTGAAGTGAGGCACAGCCATGGAAAGGCCTTTCCTTGTCCAGAGGAGAGTTACATCCCAAGGGCCATGAGTTTGAAGCCACCCTGGACCATGTAGCGAGACCCAGTCTCCAAAACAAAAGAAATCAGGGCAGCAACTTCAGGGAGAAAGACAGACATGCCCAGGACAACAAGTGGGGCACATACAGTAGTTTTTGTACATGGGAGACGTAAGACAAACAGGCAGCCGTGCCGGCTTTCTGGCTCTAACCCGACCAGCCTTGTGCGTTCAAGACAGGAGCCATAAATGTCCTAGAATTTTTGGAACGGGGAAGAGGCATTTTCTCGCTAATGAGGAAAGTGAGATGCCACAAGTTTAAGTGACTTGCCTGACAGTGCCGTGGTGGAACTAGCATGAGACTCCGTGCTGTATTCATTTGATCTATAAATATTTATTACGTGCCTACTTAGTGTTTTAGGAACAGTGGGATGGGTTGGAAATAGGATGGCAACGACAGCTGACTCATTCCTGCCAGGCAGAGCAGGGCAGTCAGCGAGGAGGCTGGTGTCAGACCACCCCCAAGCACGAGCAGCCAGCCTGGGTGCTGGGGCCGCACGGAGGGCCAAGACTGCTGGGAGCTCTCAGAGTGACACTTCGGATCCAAGACGCAAAGGATGATCAGGACCCAAGCCGGAGAAGAGGGAGGACGCACATGCCAGCCGAGGAGATGAACCGGCAAGGTTCCATGGGCTGGAAGAAGCGTGACTGAGCTAAACCCGGAGACAAGTGGCTGGGAGACCATGGGAGCAGCTAGACCAGCAGGGTGGGGGAAGAAGTGGGTTTTGCTGGCCGCAGTTTGGGTATGATTTGCTGGCCAAGACTTGGACTGAAAGGAACTCTCAGTGGGCTGCAGGGGCCCCTGGGAACTGGGGGCGCCCCACCACCAAGGGCCTGAGCGCTCTCCAGACCAGACCAAGTCTCTCTGAGGAGCTCCACCCCTGGGAGCGGGTGTTCTGAAGCACGTGACCTCTTCCACGGGTGTCACCACCTGCCCCCGCCTCTCTGTTGCGCTGGCTTTTGGGCCTCAGGGATTGTGAGCTAAATAAACCTCTATAAATTATCAAGCCTCAGGGGTTTTGTTACAACCACAGAGAACAGCCTGAAACACCAAGCTTCGGGGTTGACTGAGCTGACTGAGAAATAAAAAGCCTCCGGTGAGTTCCGGCTAGTGTTAGATGAACTCGCTTGGCCACGGCCCAAGCCAGTGCTGCCCTCTGTGATTTATTCCATAGTGACTGGGAAGGAAAATTTCTCCCGTCTTGCAAGTTTCTGAATGCCTACCTGCCCAGGCGAGTCTTGGATACGTGTTTGGACCCCACAATTTTGCTTGTTAACATTCTGATCTCACTCAAGAGGCAGAGACAGGAGGATCGCTGTGAGTTCAAGGCCAGCCTGGACTAAACAGCAAGTCCCCGTCTCAAAACAAAACAAACCAAACAAAATGAAGTAAACAAACAACATGTAATTTGTAATACAGTACACAATTTACTCTTTTGAGGGTTAATTGTCCAAATTAATCAGCTTGTTTACTTTTCTTAAAGATTGCAAGTAGTATTTTTTTTCCTTCTTATCTCTCTTTCACGGGGACCGATTTCCACAGTTGAAGAAGAAACCCAGAGCACCGCCGCCGCAGAGTGGTCTCCCCAGGGAGTAGCGGCTGCAGCACCCTCGCCTGGCGGGGAGGGGGTGGCCCAGGACGTTGGAAGAGATACAGCCTCATCTCAGAAAAAGCCCTGGGCCTTGCTTGAGTGACTCGAGGTGGGCAAACAGACGCTGAAGCAATCGCGGCGAATCCAGGAGCTCCAGTGACGGCGGGAACTGTGTCTAAAATTACCAGCGTGGGAGCGGCGACCAAGCCGCCAGGCCGACTGGCGACCGCGCTCTTCCTGCAGCTCATTCTTGTCGCCCCGCCACCTGCGTCCGTACCTTCCCTGAAGGGAGCCTGCGCCCTGCCAGGGGCCTGCGGGTGCGCAGCCCTTGCACCTGCAGAGAGCCGGGTTGGAGAGGAGCGTCGGCTGCCTCGCTGAGATGCAGAGAAGATGTGGTCTCAGGTGCAGGCCCGCTGTGCTTAATTCTCCAGCCTAGAAGTTGATCTGATTCTGGAGCAAAACGACCTTCCAACTGCAGATTCGCACATGAGGGAAACAGCGCTGGGCCCGGGAAATAAAGCCTTTTCCACGAAGGGATCCGGACGCCCGTACCTCTGCTGTACCTCTGTGTGTGTTCCGCCTATCGAGGGGATATTATGTGCTTACTCTGGGGTCCACCCTACTCTTCCAAAGGTGGAAAATTAGCTACTGCGTATTTGGTTTCAGCCCAGGGAGACAGATTTCCACACTTCCGACCTCCATCCAGAACCAGCAGTCCGTTTCCTTTGTTCTGAGCCACCCTGTTGATGGTGATTTGTCACAGCTGCCAGAGGAAACTGATACACATTGTAACACAATAAAATGTTAATAGGGGCCGAACAGAGCACAGTTGAAAGGCTTGGTGCAGGAGCTGACATCTTAGCCCCTTTTAGAAGGAAGAATAAAGATTGGACGAAGGAAAAGGGAACTGCAAAAGACTTTCAAGTGAAAATTTCCTGGGACGGGGAGCATTTGGCAAGCCAGGGAATGATTTTTTTCTTCTATTAAAAACATTAATTATTTACAGAGCTCAGACCATGTCCCAGGTGCACCTGTAATATATGTTCTCATTGAATCTTCCCGCTGACATTTCACAAGCGAGGACCAAAGTTAAATTCCTTGTTCAAGCAAATCCAAGAGATCTGGCCGTGAGCCCATGGCTTGGACAACTCCACCATGAATGCTGCCTTTTTATCCAGCCCGAGCCGCAGCCCGAGCCCAGGTGTCTGGGGGAAGGTGACCAAGCAGGCGTGAGCCCAGCCCAGGTTGAGTAGGAGTTGGACGGCACTAGGGAGCCAGAAAAAACTTCAGTGGACTTGACTGGGTTTTTGCTTTAGAAAGGACACTCGTCGCTGAATAGAGAATGACTTAGGAGGGTCCGAGAGAGAGAAGAACTGATGGAGAGATGTGGTGGAGAGATGCTGCATGAACCACGGCAGTGACAGTGGCGGTGGGGAGGAGGGACGTGGGCAGACCTTGTCATTAACAGGACCTGGTGACTGGGAGATGCGCAGAGAAAGGAGCAGGGACAGCACCGCATCTGAGGACGACTGGGGCTCCCTCCATCCGGACCCTCGGTGGCTCCAGCGCTCTGTTTAGTCCCCACTTGAGGTCTTGCTGTTTCCTGTCCTCCATCCCTACTCTTGTGCCCTGACCCTGAGGCGTCCTGTCCAGTTAGTGCCGTGGCCCCCGGATGGTGCGGTGGGGTCACACCAGACATAGCCAAGGCTCGCGCCTGGACTCTGCCTGTGCGTCTGCCCTGCTATGACCCAGTGGCATTGGCTTGGGGAAGAAATTACACTGCAGATAGGTGTGAAAAGGCTCTTGATGTTCAAAAACCTGGGGTCTGAATTGCAGGAACCTAAGGTCTCGGGCCTACGGGCTCCAATCATAGTAAATTCATGGTGCCGCTGGGCTGGAACT